ACTTTCCGTCGCCTCTAACGTCTCACTTCTATACTTGCTTCATTTTGATATCCCCAATACTTAATTCATACTTGGGGTTGTGTATCTTTTGCTGCCTGCCATTTTCATACTGTTAACAGATAGTCTTTTCTTCTTTCTTTCCTCTGCTCTCTTGCTTAATCGGGATTGTCTACTATTCAATGTCATAATGGAAGATTGCTACGCCATTTGAATTTTGAAATTACATTCACTTTTGAATTTTAGAGATTCTTGAAAAAATTGAAAGAAGAATCTGCAATGTTATTAGTCCTGACATGGCATCCCGGTTTCAGTCACTTTCCCATCGCCGTTACGTAGCTCCACTGTGCCTTTTCGACAAATATTTCCATGGTAATTATTTTGATAAACCTTTCCTCTTTGTTACGCTGATTTCATGAATTTAAACGTAGTACTAAATTTGTACTATTTATTAAATTTGTACTAAATTAATACTAAATTAAGCGTAGTACTAGTAACTAGATCGCATTATTTTACTGTTGAAATAAGTAAATGTAAATACTATGCTACTTCAGGATGCGACAGAAATAACTCCCCCATATACCTAAGGGTAAGGCAATGGTGTCTTCATCTGGATAATGTCTTACTATTATGGGAGGCATTCTTGGTGTGGGGGGATATATGTGGGAGGTATCCCTGTAGCACCCAATAGTTTATTCTCTCATACTTCTCACCTATCAGGTGGCATTTAAGCTAGCTCCTGCAGAGAGCTTTTGATTGTGTCTTCATCACAATAAGTAAGGAAGAGTAAAAGCGATAGGCAACAATAAAATACATAAGAACTCAAAATTAATCGCTGCATTTAAGCATTGCATTGATATTAAGTTCAAAGATAATTCTATTGTCGCCGTTTAATTTAATGACAATTTCATGTACGTAGGTCTTTGCTTTCCGTACAAACAATTATTTTTATTTCATGGGTGACTTTCAATGGATTTCGCAATTGATTTTGATTATTCCCAAATTTATTTCTAAGCTATAAAAAATTCGTCACAAAAAGTCGATGTAATAAAAACTTAGGAATCCAAAATTTCAGAACTGATCCGATCTGAGTCGGCATGATTCCAAAATGGTATAATATGTTGGGTTACGGCCTCTATGTAAAAAGTTGAAAACATGGACACTTTTATTTTGAAACACTGTAATTTTTTCATTTGAATATTTCTTCAAATATTTTTCATTTTCATATTGAAAGTTAGAAAGTTGTTTTTTATCAGCTAAGATGGCGGAATCCGAAAAGAATCACAGTAATGAAAATTTGGTAATCTAAAATTTCAGGATTGCGGGTCCGGATCCGCCCCGGAATGTCTTTAATTTGCTCACGGAGACGGCCTATTGTGGGAACCTAACCTACCTACAAATGGACTCTTCCACACTTATATAATGTGGATACTAACAAGGAGTAGGGAAGAAGTCACCAGGTATGAGTCACCAAGAGTGTATCATCGAGTGAGTGAATGAGTGAAGCAAGACACCAGTGAGAGAAAAGTACTCTCCTATCCACATTTACCGTTGTACTAGTTTTTTCCGAGAATATACTATTCAACCTAATATCCGAGTGGTGTTATCTTTCTATGGTCCAACACCATAATACGGCCTAATTCCAAAATGGTATGATATGTTGAAATACGGCCTCTAGGAGTAAAGTTGACACAGTGATAGACTTCGGATATGGAACAGAGCTTACTTTAACTCAATTTAATTCAAATAATTATAGTGAAGTTTTCGGCTCTTGTTTTGAAACATGAGACCTCTTATGTCGCGAATTGGAATCATATTTTTTAATTAAATAATTATATATATATATATATATATATATATATATATATATATATATATATAACGGGACTTCGTCTTCATAATCTTTATTGCTCTAAGGCGTTTATCTTGCTGTCTCCGAGATTACCCACGCGTTTGACACGGATGCGTATTCTCGGGTAGAACATGTATAATTATTACAAGTAAAAGGTTTGTCACTTAACTGATTAATGCTACCCCCAACATCCCGACTCTAGAGTTTCGGAGACGGGACCCTCCGGGAATGACATCATCCACTTGTCAAAGGGTATCAGTAATTGACTGCTTATACTTCCTGATTTTTCTTTTTTACATGCACTTTTTGTTGTTGCAAGTTTTGTCAAAGTCTCTGTGTGTTGGTGGCTGCGTCTGTGTGCGCGCGTTCGCGCGCGTTGCAGCCATGAGCTCGTCTGCGCGTATCTGTGTACATGTAGAATGCTTTTCGTAGTTTTCAACTTACACTTACTTCTTATGTTTTTTTAACCTTTTCTCTCTCTCTCTCTCTCTCTCTCTCTCTCTCTATATATATATATATATATATATATATATATGTATATTTGGGGGCAGATTTCTGACACTAAAACAAGGTAAAATTTCCCTTTCAAATACTCCCACACGGTGTCGAATGGTTTCGCTCCCATGACACGTTGATGAAGCGTCTCTGCTTCATAGACCATTTTTAGTGGCCTTCCACAGATAAAAATCCAAAGGATTGTGGTCGGGAGAACATGCAAGCCACAGAACAGTCCCCACCCCACCTATCCCTCTTTCATGGTAGATGTCAGCCAGTGCATCGCGAACAAAGGGACTAAAATGTGCTGGAACCCCATCATGCTTGAACCACATGCGTCTTCGTATTAGCAGGGATACATTCTGTAGCAGGTCTGGAAAGGTTCGAAATAAAGTCTCTGTAGTCAGCTCCAATAAGACGTGCTGGGAGAACATATGGACCTACCAGACAGTCACTTACAATTCCAGCCCACACATTAAATGTAAACTGATGCTGGTGTCCGTTCTGTATTGTACCATAGGAATTCCGATCCGCGCACAAATCTTGTGTAAATTTGATATTCCAACTTTTCGAAAAGTTGCCTCATCTGAGACATATATATATATATATATATATATATATATATATATATATATATATATATATATATAGAGAGAGAGAGAGAGAGAGAGAGGAGAGAGAGACTGTAGTTAAAAGCCCATGTTAGGGATGTTGAAAAGATTTTAATGTCTCGTGGATAAACTGACTTAATTATAAAAAGGTATTTCAATCCAACACTTTCATTATTTCAATAATTTTATTTTATTTTTTTTATATATTCAGTATTAAAATATAGTTTAAATAAATTAATATAAAATTAATATGAATTTATAATTGAAAGAATATTTTGTAATTGAATTTATTTTTGATCAAGATTTTAACAATAAAGCATTTACATTATTCGGACTGTTATCGTCATCTTCATTGCCATATTCACAACGTTTCGACCGTTGTACGCGCCGGCCTTCTTCAGGCGAGTGGAATTTCGAATCGAACCCTTTATTCCGTCCACCGAGGTAGATTGTTCTAGTTCCGTATGCCATGCCTCCTCTGGATGTCTCAGTTATTTTCCTTTAACTCAGCTCTACAAGTTTTTGGTTCACCACTGTTGTGGCCTCGTATTGAACTCACAACTCTTAGGCTGTAGTCACTGGATCTAACCAACGCCTTTGTCCGAATAATGTAAATAATGTAAATAATCATGATACCTCATCTCAGAGATATAGACAAAGTAAAATAATTATAATACTAAATCGGTTCTGATTGTAATATTTGACAATTACATATCTTGCCGTGAGAACGTATTTCCTGCAGGAATGGTAAGTTGTTATTTAGCGTTTTAGACTAGTATCTGTAAACAGTGAAGTTACTATGCTGGGCTGGTGTTGTTTAGCATTGTGACATCATTGTGTTAGACGAACAAACTGACATTAGTAAAAAGTGAAACCTGTTATTTTACAGGTATTGTCCTAACAATTCCATTATCAAAATCATATTCAGTTCCCATGATCTGGCATGGTCTTAGGGTCGCTGCGCAGCAGACAAGCTTCCTCCATATGTCTCGTTTGTACACCAATATATGAGTTAATGTAAAGTGTCTTCCAGTTCACTTAATGTTGTTGTCAGTCTATTTTGCCCCTTGTCTGCCTTCTCCTTTTTCCTAAGGTGGTATCTTGTAGGATGTGGAAATAATTTTGGCTCTTATGGTGTGATCATATCATTTCAACTTTCTTTTCTTGAAAATGCATATGGGGTCTTTGTTGTAACGTAGGGAAGGTTACCGAATAGAATAATCACACGAAGGTTGATAATGAACGATAATACAAACAACACATATAAGATACTCCAGTGGCGCGGAAAAGAAGTAGTCAACTGCTTGAAGTGAGCCAAATGAATTTTACAATGAATTTCCAACTGCAGACCAACATACAGTATTTACTATTACATTTATGTGAATGGGAACATAACCATTATCGTCCGTAGGTATGCTAGAACAGTCTTCCAACTGGACTTCTTCGAATCTGATGGTGTCTTGCACATCAGGAAACGTTCAAGGAAACTAGCCAATGTCGCTTCAAACGATGTCAGATTTTCCCGTGATGTGATCAGTCTGGTACGATTTTGATCAAGTGTCAGAAGACGTGAAACCCACCAAGCAGAATATTCTCAACTCTCTCACGGGCTTTACTAATAGCATTAACTATTTGATTTATAGTCAATCGCCTGCCATCCATTACCATATGATGAACATGATCAATGTTTTCATCGGGAGTAGTAGTTGCAGGATGTCCAGACTTTGGGTCATTTTCAAGACTCTCCTTTCCCCTTCGAAAAACCCTTTTTCTATGGGTACTTGATGACACCACAATGCTAAATTTTCTCCATTTTCAGAGAAGTCGCTACTAGTTATATTTGATGTCTTCTTTGAACAGTCAGATGTCAGTTGACCTGGAAATAAACAGTGCAGTTATTAATAAGAAGAGTTGAAATGAATGCATGCAAGATTTCACAGCTCTAGCATCGCTCCTTCATAGTCAACCTATGTACCATTCAGCCCCGACTTCGTATCTATTCAGACAGTTCGATGATTTGCGCAAAAACTAAATTTTAGACTTACTGTGAATAAAATGGCTGGTAAGGGTGTAAACTTTTGGACATGAATCATTGCCAAAATTTCTGGCAAGTGACCCTCTCGACCGCCAACAAAGAACAATCTGAAAAAAGGATATAAATATTAAACTTTTTTTTAATGACATTGCTTTAAGTTTCGATGTCTAAATTTTGCCGTACAAAGATCAAATTAGTTGCTGATATCAATAATAACTTACAATCTGTTGTTAAATAGGACAATGAGTGGTTTGTTAATTTTAACGCCTCAAAAACTAAACTGCTCTCTTTTAATCATCTGAGAGAACTATTTTTACCTTCCATCAGCATGGCTGATGCTAACCTCCAGGAGAGTGCCTCATTGCACCTTTTCATACAAACGTTTTTCTCTGATATGAAGTGGAACGATTATATCGAGTCAACTGCTAAATCTGCAGCTAAGAAAGTTGGTTCACTATGTCGCTCTAGACAATTTTTGTTGCCAGAATCTATTTGACATATATGCAAGTCTACCATTCGTCCTTGCTTTGAATATTGCTGCCTAATTGTCTCTAATTTAGAGACTCTTGATAAAATCCAAAGAAGAATCTGCAAAGTTATTGGTCCTGACTTAGCATATCGGCTTCATGTTGTGGTATCCTCCCTCTAATGAGTCTATTGTGGACTCTTCCACTTACTATAAAAATAGGAAAGTAAGCCTCGGGGGAACAGTGATATAGATTGAACGGTGGTCAACCGACACACACTCCCAAGTTGTGTAACACACTTCTGTTGTATTTACTGTTCAATAACACGATTTATCTGCAACCTCTTGTTTTTGTTATTTCTTAACCATTTGCTTGGTTACAACACTTCAGTTCCTTTCCCACTGCCGTAACATAGCTTCCCTGTGCCTTTTATATAAATATTTTCATGGGTATTATTCTGATGAACTTTCCTCTATGAATTTATAAATTTAAGCGCAGTACTAGATTGGCGGCGAGGTCTTATCATTTTAAAGTTGAAATACCGTAAGTTCTATGCTAACAGTTTCTTTTATAACTTTTCTCTATTGTAGATTTTGCTTCCCAGTCAACTTTGATCTTCAAAAATTTTAAACGCAATGTCAATCATTATTTTCTCTCTTCTTAATTCTCATTCTTTTATTGAGCTCTCTACTTAATGACAATTTTTCTCATATTCCCTAACTCAGTAGCCTCTTGCGTCCTAGTGATTTTATTAATGATTAAAAAAAAACACGTACAAAAGTTTTTTTCAGCAGCAATAACTATAAGCGCTCACATACACATGCCTCGCCCCTCCCATAGGTCTGATTTCTTGGACAAAAATCTAAAAAAATCACACCTGGTTACATACGAGAATCGATCAAAAACAATGTCCGTTTGTTAATGGTAATAAATTTAACAGTAAAAGTAAACAAGCATATCAAAATCAATTTCAGTATTGCAAATGCGGCCCTCAATATAGTCTCTTTACTTCTGATTCGTGTTAAGAGGGCCAGGCCTGATGATTGCGTTTAAGAATGAAACAGACTGTCGCCACTCGGTGTTGACCTCAATGTCCACTTTTATATTAACATACGCTCTATCTCTGATATCGAGCACATTAACTCATAAATATAGCATAATTTAAAACCATATTTTTATCATCTATCAATATATATATATATATACTAGCAGTAGAGCCCGGCGTTGCCCGGGGATGTAACAGTAAGAGATAGATCAAGTATCGACCATCATAAAGACTGAAAAATAAAATTGACAAAGATTATTGTTTAAGGTGGACGGACACGCATGTCTTAATTAGTTTTTTTTTTTTTTTTTTTTTTACGAATTGGTCAAACCCAAATTCAAACAAAAACATTGTTTACAATCGTTATGAGTCTATCGATTGGTGAATAGAATTTTATTATAAACAATTGTCTTGTAAATGGAATTTTTAAAGCATTCTGAATGTAAATAAAGAAAAAATGTGCAAGACAATAAGAAATACTACCTGCCGAAAAAAAAGTGGATGTTTGTTTTATCGGCTGAAAAATGTAAGAAATCCGATCCCATATATAAAGGAACACACACACACACACACACACACACACACACACACACACACACACACACACACACACACACACACATAAACAACCTGGGTTTTTTAACCTAAGTCACTCCACGGAATCGCTAAAACATAGAGCATAGTCTGATGAAAAAGACACCAAAGTTTATGAAAACAAAATTTTATCGTCAAACTGCTTATGTTTTTATGAAGAGGATAGACTAAATGTTTTTTAATTATTTTTTAAAAATTTTTCCATCGTCTGAGAATATTCTAAATTTTGATTTAAAAAACCTTGTTTCTCTTTGTCGCAACAAGGGGTAGTAAATAACATAGATAATTTTTAGCGCGTTTTTTTTGTATTTACACACATTAATTTGGAAAATCTTGCAAAAATAAAAATAATTGTCAGATGTTAATGAAACTTTCAGAAACTATTCACAGATGATCGAAATTATTATAAATATGTTTTTTTTTTTATTAAAGTCATGGCAGAAATATTTTTTTTTATATTTATTAACACCCCCATAACTAATTTTATGAAAAACTCTAGAAATTCAAGACCATCGGTTTTAGTGATTACAATAGTTAAAAGCACAAGGCTTTGAAGAATGCAAATCATATTTTTTTTTTTTTTTTTTTTTTTTTTGGCCAAAGTACCTGAAAATCAGCTGTGAATTGTAACATACAAAACTCAATAAAACAAATATATTATTTAGTTTCAAATGCTTTTATTTGTTTTAATTTGTTTTTATGAATATGGACAATATTTTCTGAAAGCAAAAAATTTTTTTCAATGAAAATTGAATTTTTAATACAATTATTTCTTATTTCTTTAATTTTAAAAGATTTTTAAAAAATGTTTAAATTGAATTTAAAAAATATTTTAACATTAGTTAAAAAAGCAACATCAACCTTTCAAAATGTCTGTGTGAGATTGTCATTGTCTAGCGCTTTGAAAATTGTATAATTTGGACCAATCAGATTAGCCATGGTAATTAAGAAATGTAATTTTTGTATTTATAGTCGGACAGTAATTATCAAGTACGGAAGACCAACCAGAATACAATTTAGTTGCATTATTTGAATTCAGCATTGTTCTCCGCTGTTAAGCCCTTTATTTTTGCGAAACACGTATGGAGAAGTTAATTTGAGTTTTCAATTTCAACTGAGAAGGGTACCTACAAGTAACAGTATCATCTTATGAAATTTAACTACTGCTAAACTTTAATTTATATGATCTTGATCTTATTTTTATATTAATCTCAGTTATGACATTTTTCCATAAATGAAATATCAAAATTAATAATAAAATGAATGGAAATACAAATAACACAGTAAAATGTAATAAATGTACATAAAATTATAGTATTTTATGTATACTTCTGATAAAATTTCATAAGAAAGGTACCTAAATTAATTAGATACCTTTTTCTTATGAAATTTAATCTCACTATTAACAGTCTTATTTTTTAATTTCTTTATATTTTCAATAAAGCATCGTAAACGTAAAAATGAAAGCTAAATACAAAAAAAAAAAAAATAAAAATAAAAATAAAAAATAAAAAATTAGAGCGCTGAAAGTTTTCCATAAAAGTAACAAGGTAAATAATTTGTTCACTTAAATAATTTCACTTACTTCCATCCGTAGAAAGAATTCTCCTCCCGTAAGTTATCTAAACGTCATGAATGTGCCTTTCGTCAATCGTCAAGCGACGCGAAAGGTTATGACCTGCTTTGTTTTATTTTCAAATTACATTTTTTCGGCGCAGAAGCTAAGTTAAGCTTGGTTCAAAATATTTTAAATAAACAGTATAATATCTGTTTTTATTAAAATCAGCTTTGAAAAAATGATAATTGATTTTTAAAAGAATATCAAAGTAAGATTTTAATCTTTTTATCAAATCGAAAAAATGATTGAAAATGATTGATTATCTGCCCTTTTTTTTGACCAAAAAAAAACAAAATTTTAACGAAAATTTCAGACGTGCTAGGAACGATTAAAAAATGTAAAAAATACCCCAAAATACTTTTGATCTTTCCTCTTTAATAATAATATGAACATTAGACGATAAAATTTTGTTTTCGTCAAGTTCGGCGTCTTTTTCATCATGCTATGCTCTTTTGTTTACATTTTCGTGGGTGAGTTCTCCCCTTTCATTCTCACGATGTGTCTTAATCGTGTTTTCAACTTGATTTTATTAAAAAACAACTGTATTTTCCCCATTTTCGGTCCCGTTAGAACCACCACAAGGTAATTTTATGTAGTCCCGTGAAGTTTTGTTGAAATCGGCTAAAAATATAGGAAATTCGATCCAACATATAAACGTTACAGACACACACACACACAATCTGCGTTTTATAATAAGTAATATATATATATATATATATATATATATATATATATATATATATATATATATATATATTTACACTGCACGTGGAATTTAGTGTATTAAGTTACAAATTTACAATGAATTATAGGTCTTTTACTTTTTGTATTTATATTTAACCTGACTAAAATAAAATGTTAGTGAGTTTGGTCATTGCTTATCCTGTTTACCCAGAGGCTACTCACCTTCCTGAAGTGAAGAGCAGTCCATTAACACCGCCAAACGTCGAGAGAGCCACAAAAACAGGAATAATCCAAGCCATAACACCAAAAATTTTGTTACCAAAAGTCTGTGAAAGAATGCAATAGAGAATTTAAAAAATGCAATAATATATTACAGTGCCACTTTTTTTTTTGTAGAATTCAAGTGTAAACATTGTCAAATCTGAAACTTGACAAATGGACTTATTGGGATTTTTGTCTTTCACTTGCAAATGCTAGTGAAATGGGTTGAAATTAGCTTCCCCTTTCGCCACGATGGTAGATTTGACCTAAAGTCATGACGTACATGCAGGTGGTGTCAGAAATTGTTCCTGTTCTCACGGCATTTCATTTTTGGCACGCCTCAGGCATCAATGATTAACCTGACCTTTCCCCTTCTTAGTACAAGAAGAAAGGTACTGTCTGGAGAGGATGTGTTGCACTAAAACTCACTGATTAAAAGAAAAAAATGTACACCTACATTACTTTCAAGAGAATTTGTAGAATCAACCAATATATAAGTTAATATTGTAGATATGGATATATAACAATTTACTAAGCGTAGCATGCATGTGGCACAAGGCCGAAAGTATGGAGCACCCACTAAGGATCGTACTCAATTGTAATTGCTCTGACGAAGCAAGCTCGCTAACTTTGCACCACGTCGAAGTGGTTAACATATGGACATATATGGCTGTGTAGGTAATTGCAATTTGCAGTTTAAGGAAGAAATCATAATTATTTCTAATAATAACAATAATCCTATTAAAATTGTACTTGTGTTTCCCTTTATTAGCACGCACGACTGTTACGCCCTGTCAATACCTCATAAATTGCACTATTGATAGTGTGGAAAGAGAGGAAAAGACTATACTGCTTTCAGTGAAAGAAAGAAAGAAAGAAAGAAAGGGGAAGAAAAGATAGAAGTGGAAAGAGAGAATCAAATTAAGCTAATTAGAATAGATGTTACATTTTGATCTTAACCAAAAAAGCGATGGCGACCTCGGTAAAAATTAACATTTTTCAAACTCACACTATCGACCGACAGAACCCGGAAAGGCAATCGTTAATAGAAATAAAATAACATCGTCTGCTGAATTATTTTTAAATTTTGCCATGGATAAATTGTCGTCTAAATTACGCAGAAACGAAAATAATACTGACATTTCATTTTAGCAGATATATTTACCAAAATCACACAAAAATATCTTGAAATACTAAAGAGTAAATTTATTCAATAAAATTGCCATTAGCTTCAACCGTAGCCTCCAGATGACTTCGAAATCTCCTGAAACTCTTCTGGACAGTCTCCTTGTTTAAGTTGGTAAATGCTGCCATAATCCTTGCCTTCAGTTCATTTTTGGTGTCACAAGAGTTTTGTTGGTCTCTCGCCCCACATATAATAATCAAGGGGTTTGCAGTCTGGTGAGTTAGGTGGTCAGATGTAAGGAGTGATGTGGTCGCAGAAATTGTCTGACAGCCACGACTGGATTCTCCTGCTTGTGTGGCATGATGCAGAGTCCTGTTGCCAGACATAGGGTATCTCAGCAGCCACCCTCTTGATCCAGGGCAGCAGGGCCTCCTCAAAAGCACTTGATGTAGGCCTCTGTGTTGAGTCTGAGGCCATGTGGAAAGGAATATAATCGCCATCACTAATGATCACTCTAAACACCTTCGTAATCACCATTATACTCATTCAAATCTTTCCAAATCCTCTGTACTCTCCTCAGATTGACACCCAAACACTCTGAAATTGTTGTATTGCTGCCTCCGGCGCGAATGCCAAGCATTACAACATGCCGTTTCCAAATTTCTGACGGAGTGAATTGCGTCCTGATGCTCTTTTTCTCACAGATAATGCTCAACTGACCTTACTATACTGTTCAAAATCCAAAACAAACAAAGGACATAGATGAAATTAAAAATATAAAATGGCGACAATTTACCCATCGCAACCTGTACATTTTTCGAACTGTTGTCCTCATCTTTATTGTCATATTCACAACGTTTCGGCCGTTATACGCTCCGGCCTTCTTCAGATGATATACGTTGGAATTTCCAACCGGGATAGATTGTTCTAGTTCCACATGCCATGCCTTTTCTGGATATCTCAGTTTCAATTATTTCCCTTTAGTAACTCTACTTTCCAATTTTCTTTCCTACTCTGTTGTAGTCAGGTATTGAACTCACAACTCTTTGGGTCAAGTCATTTTTGGACTACTTCAACCAGCGCTTTTATCCACTGGGCCATGTATCTCTGGGAAATTAACTGAAACCGAAACATCCAAAAAGGCATGGCACGTGGAATTAGAACAATCTACCGCCGTGGACTAAATAAAGGGTTCGGTTCAAAATTCCAACGTATGTCACCTGAAGAAGACCGTAGCGTACAACGACCGAAACGTTGTAATGGTCAGGACAACTGTCTGAACAATGTAAATAGTGTAAATAGTTACAATACTGCATCTCAAAAATATCGAAAGATTCTGAAGAAGGCCGGAGTGTACAACGGTCGAAACGTCGTAAAGGTGAGGAGAACTGTCCGAACAATGTAAATAGTGTAAATAGTTACAATACCTCATCTCAAAAATATACAGATTCTGAAGAAGACCGGAGTGTACAACGGCCGAAACATCGTAAAGGCGAGGACAACTGTCCGAACACTGTAAATAGTGTAAATAGTTACAATATCTCATTTCAGAAATACAGACAGATCCTGAAGAAGGCCGGAGAATACAACAAGATTTTTTAATCAATTCACCATTAATCAAATTCGATAATGCCATTAAGGTGCAAGGGGCTACTAGAAACGAAAGAGAAAGAAAATTCTTTAGAAGAAAGATTGACGGGTGTCCTGTTCGTGTGTCACATTTGTCCGGTCACTTTTTACTTCCCGATTCACTCATGCACACTTCTCTGACAAGACAACTGGTGTATCAAGCTCAAACTTCGATTGCGTGTGCATGAGCAGAAGTCGGTGTGGCGTATCTAAAGATATGTTAGTGTGAAAGTGCAGATATTTTTTGACTTACCCTCGTATTTATAGATAAGGCACAGGGACGCTACGTAAGGGAGGTGGGAATGTGATTGAAGCCGAGAGGCTAGGTCACGTTTATAGGTGTGTGTTGCTCCGGCTTTCTGCATCTCACCACCCATACCCACACAAAATCTTACACTTAGCGACCCATCTCTATTTCCCTTCTCTATAATAATATAATATGTGAACTCTTCTCCTCTCTCTTTATGGTATGTAATAGCAGTTGCGGACCGCAAAGACTGTTAGGTCAGACTGACGATCACGGCATCAGATAGTAGCCAAACCTCAAAATAGATTCTCATACACGTGATGAATCACATGACCAGATACAAACAATCAAGCGGGAAAGATTAACGGGACCCAGTTGGGTAACGAATTTCGAAGGAAACGGAGTGTATATTAAATTTTCATGTGATTTGACTTTCCGAATTGAAGAGAAGGAATGACAACCCCAATTCACATGAAACTTCAACATAGAATTAAACGGAGAGGAGTCTTGCGCGGACAATTACTCTTTTACTTGTTACAGTCAAGCAATAGAGATCACACGACGAGACGAACTTCAATTTAGCTTAACACTATACAACTGTCATTAAGAGCATATGTGTATGGCCAAACGTGACCGTCACTTAAAAAATGCATATATGATGTACTTAATTGGACGAAGGCTCCGAAACATGAATTCTGCACAGTTAAACCTATGACTTACACAGCATTGATTCTTCATAACCAAATGTACATTTTCTGCAGTGCCGAAACTTAATGACCGGATAATGAAAGCAACATTGAAGTAAGAATAGATCAAAGGACACCGCTACTTAAGCGAACGAACTGGTTTAAATTTAAAAGAGACAAAGAGAATAATAAGGGAAAGAGAGAGAAGGGAAGAGAGAAAACCTTGTTTTATTTCAGAAGAAATACTGAAGCTAAGTTTTGTTTCAAATTTTGCTCTCATAAAATAACACATTCATCGCACACATCTTTCCACGCATTTTCACATTTAAATGTTTTTACGCCTGGTCTTGTAATTAAATCTTGTCAATTTGCACATTGGCGTTTGTCGTTGGTCACTTTTGGTTAACATGTCGAAAAACTGGAGTGGAAAACTTGGGCATCTATTAGACGACTAGTTGTTTTTTTTTTAAACCTTTTCTTTTTAAACCTTTTGCTGCGGTAGCTGGCCATAAACGTGTGTGTAATGGTGTTATGTCAGTGTTCACCCTTATTCTTGTTATCAACTTTATGTTCCACAGGCAAATCCAGTGATGATAGGAATGAACTTACCACAGCCACAGCATTTGAGGTCAACATCTCAAAGGGCGAAATCAGTGTGAAGTAAGATGCATTTGCCAAGACATACAAAATAGTGACCAAAGGAATGGAGATATAGATGGCCAATGGTAGATTTCTGTACAAGAAATAAAGAAAAATAGCAAAGACAATTATTTATTCTTATAAATTATTTTGTAAATATTTTAGACATTACATAAAGGAAAATGATTTTAAAACAGAAATATGTTGTTTAGTTTGGGTTGGCTGATTTTGTTTAGCGGCATATCAATACCTCTATGGGTTATTTAATGCCAAAATATAAATATTGTGTACACAATTATATGGCTTCAGTTACATATATTTTGAACGCAATTGTATGCCTTCAACTACAGATATTTTGTACATAATTTTACATATCACTACATCTTTTATGTTCAGTGCATTATCAAAAGATAGATTTTGTTTAGCAGCATATCAACCACTATTACATTCGACAACTCTGTAATTCAACATTTGCTTTGAGGCAATGCTTTCTCCGAACATCTTTTCTGTAAACTTTCAAAGATATCGTTGTTGTTGAAAAAGCATTGGCTTAAAATATAAATGTGGTTTGGAGTTGTCTTACCAAACGAAACATTCAATATACGAGACGTCTACAACTACTATTACTACTACTACTGACACTACTACTACTACTACTTAAAAGGACCAATGTAAACCACAGATAATTAAACATTCTGTTCTAAGAGTAAAGGTTTTTGCTGAAACAGTTCATATCCATTTCCCCAGAAAAAAATTCGGCTACACACACACACACACACACACACACACACACACACACACACACACACATATATATATATATATATTATATGCGCTGTACTTAATGGAAAGTGCTCAATATTAGTGACAGAGCTAACATATTAGTTTGAATGAATATGAGTTTGTGACCCTGGGTTTCACGCTTTTGCGATCATCAGGTTTAGGGTGAAACACACCTATTCTATAGTTAATAGACTCTCCCACCTGATATAAGTAGGAGTAGTAAGAGAAACGAGGGTCAGTCGATGTCGGACGACAGTAGTCGAATACGAAAGTAGTCAGCGACCACAACAAGCTTACTCTGCGTAATACCTATTATATCAAGTTCCTAACGTTTTGTACGTCGAACCTATTTTAAGACCGATTTAGTACAAATACAAGCCTCCACTGCGAAATAACTCCACAACATCAGGCAAACTGGTTTATTTTCTTAAAATTGGATCTATTTATGTTTCTTTGTCTATGTTTGGTCAAACATAAAAATAAATAAATAAATATAAAATACAAGCATCATCAAAAAAAAAGAAGAAGAAATACAAACATCATCATCACCATGACCACAAACAGAACCCAGCTTAAACAAAGTGGTGATGAAAAGACCCAGACCAATGAAAGTTTCTCTGGCGGCCCATGCAGTAGATCTGAAAAGCGTCAGGAACATCCCTACCCACTCCTTGTTGAAATGAACATCGCAACACATAAAAAGCTAAGGTCCCAACACCAAAATAGAATTACAATTACGCATGTATGTCTGGCTGAATGCACGGATATGTATTTGCATCTAGCCTGGAATTGCTTATATGGGTGTGTTTGCGTGAACTAAAATGCGTACACCTGTGTGTATGTGTCTATGCGTATGATAGTACCACACCAAACAAACACAGGAGTATATTTCCCCTCCCTCGACACAAAACATAGTCAAACATGCATAAATAGATTCAATTTGAAAAAATAAATTAGTTGTCTGATGATCGCAAAAGCGTGAAACTCAGAGTCACAAACTCAAATCTATACAACATATCTATCTATCTATCTATCTATCTATCTATCTATCTATCTATATATATATATATATATATATATATATATATATATATATATCCAAGTATAGGATTGGTGTATACGGAATAAATTCCAATCACCAAAAAATACTATTCTTGAAGGTGCTCAATACAGAGTAGAGCAAATATAATTTATTCGAAAATTATAACATAAATATGTTATAAAATCACTACAAAAATAGCCATTTTGTTTCAACACTTCTGGTCCCTTATCAAGTGATGGTGTTGAATGTAGAACATTTAGTTTTTTTAACAAGTATTAAACTCACAACTTTTGGGGTCAAGTCAATACCTGGCCACAGCAGAGGTGAACAAAAACTTGGAGAATTGAGTTACTAAAGGAAATTAACTGAAACTGAGATATCCCAAAATTAAATAAAGTGGACTACATAAAGGGTTAGTTTCGAAATATCAACGTATATCACCTGAAGAAAGCCGGAACGTACAACGGCTGAAACGTCGTGAATATGGCAATAAAGATGAGGATAAATGTCCGAATAATTACAATACCTCATCTCAGAAATATAGACAGATATATTTACAACTTGTAAAAATTACGGAATTAATTTTTTATGGATTAGCGCTTCTGCTTAAGATTGGTGTAACACCTGTGCGCTCTGCTGAAATTGGTGTAGCACCTGTGCGCTCTGCTGAAATTGTATTTCGATGTTAAGTATATCGCTTCAGCAGCTGAATACTAACGCATTGTATATTTCACTTGCCTGTTTGGCTGTGGGTCGGACGTTCGAATTAGGTTCAGAATCGCTTATTTTATTTTTTTCATATCTGTCTGCTTTATCGGGAGAGAAAAAACCGACAGATACAAAGAAACAGCAGATTTTTATTAAGTGACAAATCATTTTTGAAAAAAAAAAAAAACAATAAAAAATTACCTGTAAGGATTTTTCAGTTCTTCAGTTACAAAATTCAAATAATTCCTGTAAAAAAAAAAAAAATCACTTTTAGATTTTCTTTCCGCTATCTTAAATGTTCAATTTAACGTCTCTTTCGAATACGCACGGAATTTAAAAATAAGTAGCATTTTCGTATAAGCACTTGATTTTTCCAATGAATTTAAAATCAAATAAGCGCCCAATTTCAACAAAGAATTTAAGTGTCCCTCTCGAATAAGCGTACCAGGGTGATTAAACATATATATGTGAGAAATGAAAGGGAGCGCTTATTAGGATTTGGGGGTTTAAAGACAAGAAGTTAAATCAGCAGTTCACAACATTTTGTTGGCCATGACCCACCTATGCATATTTAAAATCCTGATGCCCTTCCACCCATTGTGACATATAATTCTTATTATTCAAAAAGTGAACTCCTATTTACGTGGAAGAAGCTAAAAAGGTCATTGACTTAAGAATCTTGAAACTGCATATATACAAGAGTATTATCATTTAATGTTAGAATTTTACAATATTTAAAAAATATTGTGTTACTAATAAAAATATACAGGGTGCGATGGGTAAAGTGTCACCATTTTAATTTTTAATTTCAAGCATGCGCGTTGTGTGTCTTTGATTTAGACGACTACATAATATAGTAGAGTCAGTTGTGCAGGGTTTGTGAAAAAAAGAGCACCATGACGCAATTCATTCCGCCAGAAATTTGGAAATGGCATGTTGTACTGCTTGACATTTGCAACGGAAGCTCCAATACGAACATTTCAGAGTGTTTGGATGACAATCCGAGGACAGTGCAGAGGATTCGGAAAGATTTGGATGAGTCTAATTGTGATTACGAAGGTGTTTGGAGTGATCACTAGTGATGGCGACGTTATGCCTCCATTCATCTTCCCTCAGGGCCTCAGACTCAACACGGAGGTCTACATCAAGTGCATTGAGGGGAGGTAGTGCTGCCCTGGGTCAAGAGGGTGGCTGCTGGAAGACCCTATGTCTAGCAACAGGACTCTGCACCATACCACACAAGCAGGAGAACCCAGTCATGGCTGTTAGACAATTTCTGCGACCAAATCACCCCCTACATCTGGTCACCTAACCCCCCTTGATTATTATGCGTGGGAACAGTTGTGCGAGAAGCCAACAAAACTCTTTGTAACACCAAAGAAGGCAAAGATTATGGTAGCATTTACCAACATAAAAAAGCGACCGTCCAGAGATTCCGAAGTCGTTTGGAGGCCATAGTTGAAGCCAATGGCGATTTTATAGAATAAATTATTTCGTATTTCAAGATATTTTGTGTAATTTTGGTAGATATATCTTTTTTGGGGGAGGTCGTCATTTAGACGACAATTTATCCATCGCACCCTGTACATTATATATTATATTTATACAGTACATACATAATTACATACATACCTACATACACATGTATAAATACTGTATAAGCACCGTATGTATTAACTCGCACACACACACATACTCGCACATAATCATTAGAAAAAAAATCACTTTTAGTAACTCATTCACCTTAAAAGTCAAATTTACCCCCTTTGGGACGTGCGTCCCACGTTTGTAACCATGGAGCTATATATATGCTCTCTTTACATGTTTTAATTAAGCACTGAGGACGATAAATCGAGCATTTACAATTCTAAAAAATAAGTTCTAGTATCTATATATAAAATTATCTTCCTTCCATTAGTCCGTCAGTACGTGACACCCTGTAAAATAGCCATACATTAACCAATCAAAACCGCATTTTGCGGGGAAGTGCAAACAGGTAAGTAGGCACAAAGAACAATTGGTTTTATTAGTGTGTGTAGCTTAGTAGAATAAAATTTCAGTAACTGTTTTGGAAAAATTAAAAGTTTTATTATTTAACAAACAAAATAAGTTTATCTCGTCGTCATTCTTCTTCCTCGCAATATTACACCGGGGTGGGGAGAAATATCAAACCGCATTAATGGCAGCCACAAACGTCAGTCAGATCCCACCCTATACACACCCAATATCTCTTTGTTGAAACAAAGAGAGATTGACCTTCGAAAGGCATTTCCTAAACGACTTTTATTTCACTTAACTGTTTGCAGTTTCGGCAGTATAATTAACAAAGCCAAACGCTTCAAAAATTTCATTCCCCTTCAGAAAGAATTATTTACACATGGCCTGATATATGTTGCAATCTCAAAGTAAGAAATCCTAAGAGTTTATTATTCGCTGTTAAAAGGAAATAAGGAAATTTTCTTAAAAAATAGTTGTTTGCCATGAAGTCCTATAAAATTAGATTAAAGAAATTATTAAACCGCGAAATAGGTTTTTTGTCAAAGTATTTTTACTATCAATCCTGTTTTTCATTTGTCCCCGATTTCGAAGTTTCGTAGAAACATCAACTGATTTTGAGTGCATTTTTGTTAATGTTTTTTTTATATAAATGAGTATTAAGAAAAAGGGACTATTCGAATAAATTAGAATACATACTAATACTACACTACATACAAAGAAAAAGAAATATAATTTGGTTTAACCCACCTTATAAGAATATAATAAAAACAAAAATAGGAAAAAATTAATTGAAAGACATTTCCCTACAAATAGTAAACTATCAAAGACCATTAACAAAATACAATCAAAATCAGTTATAGTTGTATGAATAATATGGAGAAAATAATAAATAAACATAATAAAAAATATTAAATAAAAGTAATAGATATTAGAATAACATAATTCTACAAAAGAGCAATAATAATTGTAATTGTCGAAACAAAAAGTGTGCATTTAATAATAAATGTTTAATTAATAATATAATATATAAAGCAATTGTATCAAATAATATTAACACAGAAGAAAAACATTTACATATCTACCGAAACAACTTTTAAAGAAGATTTAATAATCAGAAAATGTCATTTAAAATAGACATATACGTAAATAATAAAACATTATCAAAATATATATGGAATCAAAAAGAAAATAATATTCCTCATAAAATTAATTTGGAAATTATTAAAAAAAAGTACTTCCATATAATATTAACAATAGGAATTGTAGATTGTGCCTAGAAGAAAAATTATCGATAATGACTTTTAATAACCAAATTAAATTATTAAACAAGAAAAATGAGATAATGGATCGATGTCGACATTTTAATAAATATTTACTTTGTAATTTAAATACTAATATAACATAATATAACAAATACAACATAATCTAATATAATTGCAAATTTTTACATTATAATTGGAAGAGAAATTCATAATTGGAAAAATATTACGCTTATGAACGAACACGTAAGCAAATGAAAAACTCATGAACAATGAACATGCGCGTGTACATAACGGGACGTAAAAAATAAAACGTAAAAAACGCAAAAATCGGAAATATATTTATTTAATTAATGGACACTTGAAAAGTGGATGTTTCTACGAAACTTCGAAGTCGGGGACAAAAAAACACCAAGATTGATAGGTACAATTACAGATAAGAAATTTTCTGTATAAAATAATATGTTGGTTTTTTGCAAATCGCTAACGGTGGGGGAAGAATCGTTGCGAATAATTGAGTTGGATGTACTAGATTTAGTGTAGTATATGATTAACTTAATTTTTTGCTAGGATCTGTTGTAGATATATTAGTATTTACCAATTTTTTTAGTATATTTTCATCTTGTTTATAATTAGTATGCATTTGACTACGATATAAGAGATTAATGTTTGGGATTAGTTGAAGCAGTATTATGTTCTATTTGCTTAGTATTGAGACTTCTAAGAAAGCATCTGATTTATTCATCAACTATATAGTTTGGAAAGCTATTATTAATAAGTGTTTGTTTTATATTCTTTAGTTCACTGTCAAAAAAAATCTGTTTTGTGGACGAATTAGTTTTTGCACGATGTATTATATTTTTTTTATAATTGCTATTTTATAATAATATGGACATTCGCTCTTGTAGTTAAGTGTACACACTGGTAGGTTTTTTATATGGCGAAATAGTAAGTTTGTTATTTTTTGTGTTTATCGATATGTCAAGAAAGGGAATGTTATTATTAGTATTGAGTTCATACGTGAATTTAAGGACAGAATTATTTTATAAATGATGATAATGTTATTAAGCTTATCAGACGATATGAAAGGAATTTGCATAAAATAAATAGACAAAACTTGTCTATATTATTTAATGAAACATGCATCAATATATATATATATATATATATATATATATATATATGACTTCCATTAGTCAGTCAGTCCATCTGTCACGCCCTCTAAAATAGCCATAGATTGATCGAAACCAAATTTTGGGAAGAAGTGCAAACAGTTAAGGTGGTACAAAGTACAGTTGATTTTACTAGTGTGTGTAGCTTAATACAATAAATTTTCATTAACTGTTTTGAAAAGTTTTATTATTTAACATACAAAATACTCTTGTATATTTTTTCCTTAAGTTTTTAAATATACAAGAATCCAGTTTCCAGTTCACCCTGCTTTTGCAAGAACTATAAACATATCAAGACCAAACGTCTCAAAAAGTTGAAATTTGGCTCCAGAAAGAAATATTTACTCATGGCCATTTGTTTGTTGCATGCTCAAGAGTAAGAAATCCTAAGAATTTATTCTTCGCTATTTCCTTGAAACATATTGTTTACCATAAAGTCCTATAAAATTAAAGAAATTATTAAACCGCGAAGTAGGTTTTTTTAAGTATTTTTCCAAACAAACCAGTTTATTAAAAATTTGGTTTATACCAACGGCTTCCAATACTTAACACTTCTCGTTTTCACTCTCGCGTGATCATGTGTGACGAGTTTCTCGTTTCTTGGAAATCTTCCATGCAATCAAAAACAGACTATCATTATTGCCAAGTCAGTGAATTCTTTAATATATTGTAATGGTATTGTCATCTTTGATGATGGCTTATGTAAGCGAAAGCTTAGATAGGATTATAAAACATGTATCAATATGATGATTTTCTTTCGTCTTTCAATGATAATGTTATTAAGCTTATCAGACCATATGAAAGGAATTTTGCATAAATAGACAAAACTTGTCTATATTATTTAATGAAACATGCATCAATGAAAAAATGCTGCCTAAATACACACACACAATATATATATATATATATATATATATATATATATATATATATATATATATATATAATCTATATATGTATGTGTGTGTGTGTAAAAAATTAAGATCTAACTAAATATATATCTGTAAAAAGACAATATGCAGATAAATGTAAAACTTGTCTTAGCCGACGCGTTTCGTACACTAATCTCTGAATGTGTCACTTATTAAAAGAGAAAGTAATTTAGAGGGAAAATTCTTGAGTGCGTCCCTATCGAATTTTACCAAATTATAAATCTGTGCCCCAATTTTTTCCTAAAAGAAAATCTCATTTCCCATACATGACTATTAATTTTTAAAAAAAAATTAAACAAAAAAGGATTAAATTCAAAGCCTTTTGTTATTTCCAAAAATAATCTCAGATTAAAATAATATAAACAGTAATTACATTATAAAAGGATCAACAATAACAACAAAAACATTTACTCATCTTTCCGTGTTAAATATAAAATTACATTACTAAGCATCCTCTATAATTTACCTTGACTTTCAGTTAGTTTGAAATATACTTATGCCCGTTCTGAAATCTAAAAATTCTGTCATTTTTACTTCTGTCTATAAATATTTTGTCGCAAAATAAAATCTTTAAATTTGCCTTGATAAAGCCCATAAGAAGGTGTAATGCATTGGTTAAGTTTTACTTTTGTTTTTTGAAATACTTATAATTTATTTATTAACTAAATTTTTACAAGAAATGATTATGAGAGGAAAGCGTTTAGCATGAAGTTTTATTTAAAATTCGATATGGGCAAAAGATTTCGCTACCAGATTCTCAAGCTGCCTAGGAATCGCTCCAAGGTATGGAAGACATAACTTATTGTATTCACCCTTCAAGAAGACTTGCTCCTTTGACTAACCCCAAAGAAAAAAGTCACAGGATATAAGTCAGGACTCTTGGCTGGTCACTCATGCATAAAACTTTTGCCTAACTCTGTATATATATATTTGACATAATTTTAAAACAATTATCTTGAAGACTACTAAGTCTAGCTCAATGAAATTGAACAGTTTAGGCCGTTGAACATCATAAGTTTATTATGTGACTGATTTCATAAGTGCAACGGCTGTGACAAACACGCTGTAGCATTTCTCTGGTAACATTATCCAGTGCGGAAGTGATTCTCTGCTTGAGTTCATCAATGCTAACAGAAAGAAGGTGATATATATATATATATATATATATATATATATATATATATATATATATATATATATATATATATATCCCCGTAAAGATTTAATTTTCAAGTCTTTTTTCATTTCTCTTCATTTCATTTCTATTCTCTCACCTGCTAAACGTCTTATGAATTTAGTTGGATCTTTTCTAATTGATCTCTTTAGCACTAAGTTGAAATGATGATCCCCCTCCCGGTTGTGACCTCCTGAACCAGTTTTCCTCTCTACTGTTCCCTCTTTTTTAAACTCATTCATCGTTCTCTTGATGGTTCTTGAATGAACTTTGAAGATGGAAGTCAGTGTCTGAATGTTGATATCATCACTGAAGGCCTGAATGATCTTTTTCCTCCCACTATTGCTCAGTTCAGAAGACAGTGGGGTTGACACAAAACGATTTTAACCTGTTCTCTTTCTAGCTGAATAACTCAAAAGGTTTTACAGTGATTCTTATGACAAATGGTATCAAGATGGGTAAACATCTTATCTGAAAACCTGGAAGAAAGAAACTCAATTAGTTTAGTGTTTTTTTTTTATAGATATTAAACATTTTGTGGGATGGACAATTATGCTGTTACACGATGTGGACAATTTTGCTGTTACAATCGGTGTATATATATATATATATGTGTGTGTGTGTGTAAGTGCGTTTGTGTGCGAGTACAAGTTAGGTTAAAAACAACGAACGTTCTCTGTTAAGGTTTTTATCTACTTTTGCTACGTTTCGAATCGTCTTCGTGGTTTTAAGTATAGAAAGAGAGAGAGAGAGAGAGAGAGATCCCTCAATTGGTGCGACTAATATGACATTAAGATATACGCATAAAAATATCGAAAATGCATTAATCAAATATAATCACTTATAGGAAATGATGCAATTTGTACCTCAAATTTTAGTCTCATTCACAATTAATTTCTAATTTGCGTACTTTTTAATTAAAATATACCTAAACATAAAAAGATAAAATAAAAATGCTATAAATTAATAATGTTTATTAATTTGATAAAAATGAACAGAACTTATTTAGTTTTTCGTATGGTAATCTTGTATTCTTCATATAATCGGTGGTACTGAGAAATTGCCTCTTCAAATTTTTCAAACATATCATAATCATTAGTATTTCAACCTGAAAATTTTATTTATTATCTTTCTATCGTAAATGCCTACATCTTTTATATTTCGATATTTTTTAATAAATGTAAATTTCTGTATCTAATTAAATCGTCCATTATTTTAACAAAAAATCAGAAATTTCCTTTTGAGAATTTCAAAATAAACATGAAAAAAATTAAAATATGCAAAAAATTTTAGTAGAGACAAATATTAAAATTTTTTAATATAGACAAATATTCAAATATATATTTTTATTATCGGCTTATATTATAAAATTGATCTTTTTATAACCGGCCATTTCTTGAACAATACTGTAATTACGTAGATAACGTAAAATTTGATAAACAAAATAGCCATTTTCCATTTTTAAATTTTAGAAAATTTTCAATTAATCGGTAACTATAAAAAAAATTAATTTTCAATTACTATCGTTAAACTGAAGTATGCTTTATCGGACTAATCTAATATTATGTATACATTAATCGAATTTTGGTAGATAAAAATTTTAGCGCACTAATCGAAAACGTTGAATGCGCATTAATCAAGGGATTCCTATATTTAAATAAGAATTGTCCAATATCTGAGTACTTTCTGCTATCGTTAGACATTATGTTTGCGTGTGTGCCTTTGTGTGTGTGTGTGTGTGTGTGCGTGTGTGTGTGTGTGTGTGTGCGTGCGTGTGTGTGTGTGCGTAGTTTCATTTTGTCTTAACCTCCAGGCTAAAAAATTCAATCTTTGCCAATTAACCCACAAAATTTGCTGACCCCTAATTTAGATAAGAGGACACGTTATCTAAAATGTCAAGATTAATCTTGATATGGCATCACGTGAGAATCGATGTAAAAACGGAACTCAGAAGGCAAGAATAACTAACCATCCCGAGTAGGAGAAAAGTCCAGAATAAAGTGCCAGGGAAATGCTGGAAGCACTGGTACTACTGTCTTTGAATGGTTCCTGGAAATATTGTGTCTCACCTGCAATCAAATCAAAATTAGGAAAAAGAAAACAAAACAAAAAAAACACCAAATATTATTTAAACAACAAAGATTATCAACAATTATTTAGCCAACAATTATTTAACAAAAATTATTTAACCAATTCGTTATTTAACCAACAAAACTCATAATCAATTATTTAACGAACAGTTATTTAACCAATTATTTAACGATTTAATTATTTAACCAATAAACATTTAACAAATTCTTTAACCAGTCAGCTTCCATAAAATATATCTATTGCAGTGGTTTTCAACCAGGGTTCCGCGGAACCCTAGCGTTCCGCCAGTAAGGCCCAGGGGTTCCGCAAGAAGTTACACAAGTACTATGATTGACAGTAATTTTTAAGTTTTTTAATACATGTGCAATAACCGTAGAAGCAAGATTAAAATTGCATATGGACGTCTACAATATTTTTACAGTTTTTCTTTGTATTTTTTTGTAAATAAATATGAAGATGAGTATTTTTATTTTATTTTAATAATTGAAAGCTTTTTTTTTGCATAAGACAATTAATTTATTGCAGGGGTTCCTCGAGCCACTTGAATGTTTCCTTGTGGTTCCGCTCCAGCAAAAAAAGGTTGAAAACCACTGATCTATTGGATGCTTTAGTACACATCATCAGTGATGTTTCTAGCCGAGGTTCATTAGGGGTTTCAGGTCTTTCAACATCATACCCCCTCTACCCACAGTGATCCAGCCGATACTGATTGGGTATCGACTTGTGTACCTTCCGTCAGCTACAACTTTTTTTCATCTTCCAAACCACACACCATGCGACACTTGGCAATTTATTGTCCAATCCCGGACGACTTCCGGTTCACTGGCAATGCTCGCTCTTAGATAAAAAAAAAACAGGAAGCAAACGCAGCCACAATTTCTATCTGATCAGGAATATGGCGGCGTGCTTGGTTTCAAGTGGTAAGTATAGATTTGACCGCCCCCCCCGGAGACATATATACACACACATGCACACACACAGAGAAACGCACTCAAACATCACATTCTGCTTACACTTATCCCCATTTTCATTCATGTTAATCATCCGCCGAAGAAAAAGAAAAAGAAAAAAAAGCAACGCTTATTATTAATTATTTAACCAATAATCATTTAACCAATAATCATTTAACCAATTATTAACTAACAAAGCTGATCATCAATTATTTAACCAACAATTATTTAACCAATCAATTATTTAACAAAGTTATCATCAATTATTTAATCAACAATTATTTAACCAATTAATTAACTAGAAAAGCTTATCACCAATTATTTAACCAAGAATTCTTTGACCAATAATTTAACCAATCATTTATTCAAACAACAAAGCTTATCATCAATTATTTAATTAACAATTATTTAACCAATTCTTTAACCAATAATTATTTAACCAATAATTATTTAACCAACAAAGCTTATCATCAATTATTTAATCAACAATTAATTAGCCAACCAATTAACCAGTCAATTATTTAACAAAGATTATCATTTATTATTTAACCAACTATTATTTAACCAATTATTTGACCAATTAATTATTTAACCAGCAATTAGCACTACTACAGGTCTGTATCAATTAGATATTTTTGTCTTTGACCCATGGAGATCTCATTTTACATATACATTGTGCCACGTTCCGTGTTAATGAGATGGCGGATAAATAGTGCTTCATAATAATGTCGATATATTTCCGAAGGTTATCATTAGTTATTAATCATATATCCAAATTTATAATCTTGTTTATAAATACAGTTTTATTGCATATCGTCGCTTATATAGTGGTCATTCTTCTATATTTCGCGTCCTTTCAGAATGTAAGTGATCATGCCTCTCCACGACCTCCTATACCTTGTAGCCTTTACCAACGTTTGACACTTTCTCTGGTCTCCCGCCCCGTTGTGTCATCCATTAGCAAGGAGTTAGCTAGGCCATGTGAACTTCAAATCTCCAATTCTTCCTTTCTTGTTACATGTTCGAGAAATTTCAGCTGCTTCTTTTTTATTTTGAGTATGTGTTTTTTTGTTTCCATTCTTAAAATTACTTCGTTGATTACTCGTTCTGTCCGTGGATTTCTCAGTATCCTTCTGTAGAGTTACGTTGCTTAATTTGGGTGAAAGTGAATAATAGGATTACCTTTTGCAAATTGGACGATACCAGCCACTATGAGGACTGTAAGAGCCAGGATTTTAGCCGTGGTAAATATATCCTGGATTCTTGTGGCTGCCTTAACACTCAGAACATTAATCATTGTTAAAACGCCTGAAATATAAAATAAAAAGAAATTATTTAAATTTTCTTCAATACAACAAACATTTGAGAGCAAATGAAGTTTTTATTTTATTTGTATAGACAGGTTCGACAGACTCCTCTTTGTTGACAGGAAGATAATCACATTTCAAAACTAAATTGTTTTATTCATTCAAACTTTACATTTATGAGAAAATAAATTATTTACACTATTTAGATTTGAACTATTATCCTCATCTTTGAGATGATCTCTGAGATCTTTCAAAGGTGAGGACCATAGACCGAATACTAAAAATGTAAATAATGATAACTCCCCATTTTAGCAATTCAGACATAAAATATATTCGGTATAAATGCCGAAGGAATCATAAAAGTGACCTCAATGGCTCGCATAGTTTGGCTTGTACTCTTTTCTAGTTACTCAGGGGTTGTTACCAGACACTGAAAGCTTTCGTCTGTTCATTAAGTATTGCCGCCATATCTGATCTGGTGCATCTGTTTTATATCCCGAGATTCTTGACAAAATTTAAAGATCCTGACTTCAGTCATAGTTCTTGAAGCAAGAGAAACAAAGAAAAGAGTTATGTTATGTAATATCAGTCCTTCTATATGGCAGTGAATGCTGGACAATCTCCTTACAGATGAAGAAGAGATTTGAAGTAAGGAAAACAAAGAAAAGTGTACTGAACTGTTATGTAATATCAGTCCTCCTATATGGCAGTGAATGCTGGACAATCTTCTCACAGATGAAGAAGAGACTTGAAGCAAGAGAAACAAAGAAAAGTGTACTGAACTGTTATGTAATATCAGTCCTCCTATATGGCAGTGAATGCTGGACAATCTCCTTACAGTTGAAGAAGAGACTTGAAGCAAGAGAAACAAAGAAAAGTGTACTGAACTGTTATGTAATATCAGTCCTCCTATATGGCAGTGAATGCTGAACAATCTCCACACAGATGAAGAAGAGACTTGAAGCAAGAGAAACAAAGAAAAGAGTACTGAACTGTTATGTAATATTAGTCCTCCTATATGGCAGTGAATATTGGACAATCTCCTCACAGATGAAGAAGAGACTTGAAGCAGTAGCAAAAAAGAAAAGTATACTCGATTCTCAAGTAATATCAGTCCTCCTATATGAGATTTAATGCTGGTCAATCTCTTCTCAGATTGTTCTACAGAAGGATGCTGAGAATACTATTGTCTAAATATGATATGAACGACCAAACTTTCGATAAAATGGAAAGAAAAAGGACACTTGTACTTAACGTCAGGAAGCGATAGTTGAAACTTTCAGGGCTCATAATATGGAAAGATGGTTTAGAAAATTTGACACTCATATGACATACTGAGGACAAGAGGAACAGAAGAAAAAAGACGCATAGCCTACCTAAAAAGCTTGAGTAAATAGATGGTGGAACAAGATAACGAAAAACAGAAGTAAAAGCAAGAAGGAGAGGAAATTGTGGAGGGCTATGCTCGCCAACGCACTTCAGGGACACGCTACATAGAAGAAGAATGAGCTTGAGTAAATGATAGACGGGACAACGTTTAGAAGCGGTAACAAAAAGACAAGATTAAAACTACAAAGGTGAGGAAATTGTGGAGGGCCATGATCGCCAATGACCTGAAAGAACATGGCACATAGCAGAAAAAGAAGGGAAGTAACAGCGCTTTCCTATTAAGATCTCAACACTAGATTTCTACGTGGGATTAAATATTTTACTCCCATGAGAAATGGCTTCTTGACTATGTCTTTTACATAAACATATCTGGCAGATCATGCCAGATATCAGGTCTCCTTGCAGATCCGGCAGGAATTGGTAAAGCTGGTTTAGGAAACTCCGCATTCTGAACTCAAGGAAAGACGACGTGTTTTGACGAAGCTCCAAAGATTTAATGGATTTTACTGAAAAATGTAAATATTGCTAAAAGTAATCAAATAATTTAATATAATTTGCAATTATTATTTATTTCATCTATTAGGTACTTGTGAATTATCAGTCGCCAACTTTTTACCTCCGACAGCTGGCTAGGATATAAGACTACCGAGCTGAAGAAGGCTGGCTTCCAAAATTTCATGGTTAATCACCGGAGTTCATACTCACAATGTCGAACGTTTGTGGCGATCAGCAAAGTGGACGAACAAGCGTCACCGAGGAACGGGAAGACACCATCTTGAGACCTACCTAGCCGAGTTCTTGCGGAGAAGGCAACTACCCGATGGAGTCGACCCATTCGATGCCATTATGCAGCTTATCACCGCATTCATTTCACGCAATTAATAAGATTTATTAATGTTTGTTATTTGGAGAAATAAATATAATTTAAGAAACAAATACTATATTTTTTACGCAGCTGTATTTGTGAAAAAGTTGCAAAATTAATTTAAAAATGGTGACGGATGACCCACAAGTACTATTTATTATATATATTATTGTTTGAAGTTATATATGTATTGTTTATTATCATTATGTATTATTTATTATTATGTATTGTTTATCATTATTTCTTTTAATTATTTCCATAGTTACCGTTTTTTTTTTGTATTAATATTTATTTGTTTTTTTTACAACTAACATGAAGATCGTTTGTCTTCTTTTTACTTTCAGTTTTTGCTTACCTTGATATATTCAGGAAAGATATCAAAATAATCAAGAACCTATACTGGCAGCAAACGGCATGCATACGCATTGAGAAGGAGTTCAGCGAATATACGAAAATAGAAATAATAATGATGTGTCTTCTCACCGGACTTATTCAATCTATACTAAGGCAATTCTGAGAGAATTGGAGATCCTACCGGGATTCAGCATTAGCGACCACAATCTTACCAATATAAGATACGCAGACGACACAGTACTGATAATAGACACGGAAAAGAAACTACAAAACCTCCTACAGAAGGTAGCGAAGGCGAACGAGAAGGGACTAAGCATAAACTACAAGAAGACAGAATGCATGGTCATCAGTAAAAAGGATGGCACTAAAATCAATCATGTGAGGAAGTTTAAATATTTGGGAAGTGTTTTGACGGAGGGCAGTAGGAGCGAGCTGAGATCCGAAGACGGACTGGAATGGCCAAGGATGCATTCCAAAAGCTAGGCAGAGTACTGCGAGACAGGAAGATTTCTTTGCTGACAAAGAAAAGAGTACTGAGCTGCTACGTGACATCTGTCCTCCTATACGGTAGCGATAGTTGGACGGTCTCCTCAAAGATGAAGAAGAGACTCGAGGCAGCGGAGATGTAGTTCTACAGAAGGATGCTAAGGATATCATGGAACGAGCGTGTGAGCAACGATGAGGTCTTGGAGAGGGTGCAAACAAGCAGGAAGCTTATACTTAACATAAGGAAGAGGCAGATGAAATTACTGGGACACATAATGAGAAAAGAGGGCCTGGAGAATCTGATACTCACAGGCCGAATAGATGGAAAAAGAGACAAGGGAAAGCAACAAAAGACATACCTGGCGGGCTTAAGCAAGTGGATTGCAGAACGTGGTCTGGGGGAGTTGGCAGAGGCACAAAACTTATTGAGAGGGATAGGGGGAAGTGAAGAGCCATGATTGCCTACGTCTTGAAAGGACATGGCACATAAAAAGAAAAAAGTAAGTTATATATTTATCAACTTTGCATTTTCTAATCTCGTTCATTTTTTATCAATTGATAGTTAAGGTGTTAATTCTATCAAAAAGACAATATAAATTATTTTATTGTATATTAAATAAGGACATCATCTTCAAGTATTTTTGGGGGTGCAGAACAATTCACCATCGCTCACTGAATATTGGGACAACTCAAGTCTGAAACAAACATAAGATTTTTTTTATAAGCGAATAAAATTAATTTATTAAGGATTAAAACCTTAATTAGTAAATATTTCTCTTCAAATAAGGCATTTAAAAAGGTATTGTGCAAAATATTAACTAGTTTTTTTTGTTTTTAAATCTTTTTTTAAATAAATAAAATCGTAATTGAATTTAAAAAACAGAAAGAATCATAAAAAGGGACACATACTTAAATCCGAAAGAAAGTTGAAACATTTGACTCACATAGTGAAAAAAGAAGGCACGGAGAATTTGACATTCACAGGGTATAGTAAAGTCAAGAAGAATAGTAAAAATCAAACATTGCTAAAGATAGGAAGTTGTGGAGAACCATGATTGCTCACATCGAAATAAAGAATAGCCAAAACGAGTTAGATAAGAGAAGTACGTAGGTACGAGCAACACCCCTTCCGCTAAACTAATATTCATTCTTATTATTTTGTTTTTCTTTATATTTGCTTGATGTAGATAAAAAAAAGAATTACCAGGCCTATTGTTATCTTTCCACCCACCCAATAAATTATTTGATAAAAAAAACAAAAAAAACTTGACTTGCTCTCATAAAATGTTTATAGATAGCAGAAGAACCAAAACTAGGTCCCACCGTTTAACTTTTTCTTTTTTTTTTAAATCGGAATCCCCCCAAAGAAGGCAATAAAGCCACTAAGACACGAGGAGTTACTAGGTGTGAAAGAATCAGTAACAAAAACATTAATAATAAGCAGGAAAAGGAAAGAGTAATCAGAAGGACAGATAGCAATTGACATTGTATTTAATTTTTTCCAGATTAAATTTGGCTGGAAATCATGGAGCCAGAAAGGAGTTCCACAAGCGAGAAGTGCGATAGTATATCTATATAAAAGTGCGATAGCATATATATATATATATATATATATATATATATATATACTTTTACATCTGTATACGTACATATATGTTGATATGTCGTGGGAGAAAACGAGAAAAAAGGGACTTACAGTTATAAGACATAAAATATGAACATCAGCAAAATAAAAAGCTCAAGATGCGAGTCAAGAAGTGGAGATATAAACATGAAGCAAGTGCAGAATTTCAAATATCCAGTAAGCGTCTTAAAAGAGGTTAGAAAATGCGACACCGAGATCCGAACCCGCATTCGCCTAGCGAAAGAAGAATTCCAAAAAATCGTTAGAAACAAAGAAAAGAAGACTGGATTGTTCTGTGATATCCATCACCTTATATAGCAGTGAATATTGAAAAATTCACCCCCAACACCCCGAATAAAAAAAAACAAAAAAACTAGAGGCAGCAGAAATGGATTTCTACAGAAGGATACTCAGAATTCCATGGACGGCGCGAGTAACCAACCAAGAAATCGTAAAGAAAAATGGCAACAGGGAGAACTCTTATGCTCAAAAATCAGGAATAAACAGCTGAAATTCCTTGGACATAATCCTCAGTCAGTCAGTTTTGTGCCATGCGGGATACACGCTTAGGCGATCATGTACCTTTCGATACATGAGAATGACGAGGCTGATTTTTTCCCGCACTAGGTTGCCATTTCTTTCTGCGGTAGACCAGTTGCCATCCAAAGTGTTGTAGAGTAGTTTCACAGTGGAGGCTTGTATTTGTACGAAATCGGTCCTAATTAGATTCGACGTACAAAACGTTAGGAACTTCATATAATAGGTAATGACGCAGAGAAATCTAGTGGTGGTCGCTGATACTTTAATATCCGACTAACGGTCGTCCGACATCGACTGACAGACCAACTCCCTGAGACTTACTGCTACCTCTCGTTACTATTACTACTCCTACTTATTATAGATGGGAGAGTCGATTAACTAAAGAATAGGTGTGTTCCACAAAGCTAGAGAACCCGGTCTGTCTTGCTATTTACCCATAGCTGACGCGGGGGGGGGAGAAGAGGATTCATACCTTTCCCAAGAGTATTAGCATGTAAGTGAATGTAATGGATTCGACTGGAATTCAAGACCGTAAGAGAGTTAAGGGAAAGCAGCGAGCTATTTGTCTAACGAGCTTGTGCGAATGGATGCCAGAATGCAAAGAGAGAGAGAAAACTGCTAAGAGCCACACGAGATAAGAAGTTGTGGAGAGCCATGATAGAATATAACCTGAAAGAACCGTACACAAAGAAGAAGAATGACGAGAAAGTAAGTTTCAATGAGATTAATTTTGGAAAAGAGGTTACAGTTTTGCAATAATGTCCATTCTAATGGGAATTCTTTAAAGATAATCAAAGATCGTCAATACCAAGTCATTTGTGTTTTTGTTTTTTCGTTCTGAAGGAAGAGCAACCATTCCAGACAGAGAACTGATCTCCCATCCCTAATTCTTTGGCTTCTGACTCTTTTGTTGGACTTTCCTTCCTACCCAGTTCCATTCTGCCCCCATCCCATCAACTTGATTGACTCGGCTTCCATGTAGAGAAAATGAGCCAATTTAAAATCAGAACGCAATTAATCAGAGGTGAGCTTTGGAAAGATGTTATCAGAATCCCAGACAAACAACTGTGTACTTCCTGAAGAGGTGGGAGGGAAGGGGGTTCCTTATTGTCATTCATGGAATGGAAATCCTCTGCTATGAAGCGAAGTCCAGCGTAATGGCGCTGAAGCCATAGCCCATGGAGATGACTCTTGCTAAATATAGTTGCCTTGCCAACACGAATATTCAACATCTCTTCAAGAAACATTTAGGAATGGCAACTCGGGCATAACTTGCGAGAGTTGACATTTTTAAATGAGATAATATTAGATGTCAGAAGAAGTATTTCACTTCAGGAAAAAATAAACTGAAGATTTCTTAAAGGAAAAGCCATTTTTGTATCATTCACAAAAATATGTCCTCGTGATTTTACAGTATAAAAGATGGAAGTAAATCTGTAAAACGTTTTTTTAAAAATCATTTTAGCACTAAAGCCACTAAGGCGAAACAGACGACTGAGTGTTAGAGACCGTGAGGAAAAAAAAGAAGAGAAAAATACTATTAAGGAGAGAGAATAATAAAAGAACAATAATAAGGAAAACAGAAGATATCAAAGACCAAAGTTAACTTGAAAGCAAAAAGCTGGAAGAGAGTTCCAAAAGCGAGAAGTGCTAGAGAAGAAGCTACTAGCATAGAACTTACGGTTGCATCTAGCAAGAACAACTTGCTGGCTATAAAAAAGAAATAGTTGAGACCGAGATAAAACCATTTTCTACGTGGGTGTCCATAGTATGAGATTATGACAAAAGACCTCTTTAAAATATAGAAAGATTAGAATATTAGGAGTTTAGAAAGGGCTAATGCAATACAAATATCCACATCGATATTATTTTTTTAACTTAGTTTGTAGCGATGATTTTAAGTAAGAAAGACCATTATATACAAATACGTCTCAGGGTACGATGAAGAAGAGAGCGTCATTTTTTG